AACTTTGATAATCTTTGAGAAAATATTAAAAAACAAAAACAAAACAAAACAAAACTTATGTTCTTAGTGATGATCCTGCATCATCCAGAAAAGGTTACGTAGAGAATATATGTTGATCTATTCTACATAAGAAAGCAGAGAATAGCATGAGAGATTTTAGAACAATTTATATACAAAAAGATGTTGCTTAGGACATCAAGAGCTAACCACTAACAATATTTCCCTTTCACTTTGGCTCAAGGTCAAATTTGCAGCCCAACTGCGGTAACTAGAGAGCCTTATGGTTTGCATATTTGTATTCTATTTTTTTCTCCTAGTTCTGACATTCTATTTTAATTTGTGCTTTTCCTGGTTCTTATTTTTTAACTTATTATTTATATTATACTGTTTTATTGTTTTTCTTGTAAGCCACCTCAGAAATTTTATGGAACAAGACAGGAATAAAAATAATTCAACACACACAATTTGTATGCAGTTCAATGCTTTGCAAAAGTAGGCATTCAAAACAATGTATTTTCCACAAAGAAAAAAGCGATAATATTAAATAAATGGGAGTATTTCTGAATCATTATCTTTAGTATATTTTCTATCTTCTAATTCTAATCTTTATTATCTTTCTAGTCTTTTAAATTTCCATTGTAATTGCATACAATGGGAAAAGGAATAAAACTTTGTAAGTTAGTCACAAACATAACGGCCATATAAAAGTTAATTCCAAGGGTGAAGGATCAATAAAAATACCTTGGAAAATAATTTCAAGCATTGTCCTGTTCTCCCTTTTTTCTCCTTTCTATGAAGCAACAATCCTGTGGGGCAATCTAAGTCAATTCTATGCCATGTGTGCTTCTCTAGACAACAAGAGGTAAGGGCAACAAAATCAAAATTACTCTATGGCTCAAAGGTCCACGTTATCTTGAGGACTCCCAATGTTATCATATTTTTCATTCCTCCTGATCTTCTAAGCCAGTTGGTTTAGGCTGGCCACAGAAAGGACTTAGAAAGGACTCGATTTTCCTAGGCAGAAATCAAAGAACTTGAAAACTGCCCTTCACGGTTCTCCTCTGCTGGGAAGCAGAGAAGTTTGGTTACATGTCCCTTGTTACGAAGCTAGTAAATCAGCAGCAGCTATTGTGGAACAGCCAAACTTCACTTTTTGTGGAGAGTAGGGAGGGAGTTATGGCTTCAGTGTATGAATTTTGAGGGGAAACAAACATCAAGCCCATAACAATATGTAACTGTTAAGGCTTTGCATTTTACCTAAGGGAAATGTAAATCTATCTTACCATTCCAAGCAGGCCTTTGACATGATCAGATTTGCATTTTTAAAAGCTCACACGGACTACATTTTATAGAATGGATTAAAGATGGGCAAAACTGGAGATAGGAAGATGGCTTAGTGGTTGGGATAGTGATTCAGGTAAATAAAGTAGTTGATGTAGACTAGGACAGTGGCGTGAAGAGAAAAATTATACCAATTTAAGAGATGTTTGAGAGGTCAACGCAACAGCACTTTGTTATAGTTTGTCGCTTGAAAAGTTGAGAGCTAGAGTTTATTGAAATTTGGGTCACATGGATGAGAGCCGTGTTGTCTCCTCAAAGGGAAATCTTTATGTTCTTCTTGGTTCGTCTTGTGTGGGGGGTTCTTTCAGGGTATCTGCATGTAGAGGTTGAGTATGCCGTTGAATATTTAGTGCTGAGAATTTAGACAGGAAATAATTCACATTTAATTTTCATAACATTCATGCCTGTAATACAGGAATCAACAATAAGGCTTTTAAATGTATTGTATAGCGAGTTGCTTATATAAGGCTTAAATTATATTAAAATGGCACTAAGGAAAAGACGTTATAATAGCCTCGGTTTTCTTTCATGTTTCATCACTTTATAAGTGAAGGGAAACTGAGGCTAATGGACACAATACAGCCTACCACAATCTAACAGAATTGAGTGGAGACAGAACTTAACCTCACTTCTTCATGTTTCCCTGACAAGGTCCTAGCAGAAGTACTTTGGTGTCTTGGGACCTCAGGTTCGTCATATGTCAATTCAAGAGTCCATAAACTGACAGCCAGATAATTATTGTGTCTGTAATAACAAACTGTAAAGACTCAACCTAACTCCACTCCTAGTTCGTAGCATCCCGAAGGCAGTGGAAATAGGATCTGAGCGAAGAAATCCAAGTTCTAGACCCAGTTCTGACAGTGACTCAGTATGTGACCTTGGACAAGTCACTTATCTTTTTTGGACCCATTTGTAATTGGATATGAGAATTACTGACATGCCTACTTTCTCTCGGGCTATGAAACTAATACTAGGTAATTTACTTTGACACTTAGACACGTACGTAGAAGTTAATTGCTTATCTTCTGTGTTCCCTTTGCACTTTGCACGTGTCTCTGTTATTGTACCTATCAGATTATCTTGTAATCATCAGTTTGCACGTCTATCAGCCGGGCTAAACTAAGAGCCCCTCAAGGATAGAAACTAGGTCAAATTTATGTTGGCGTCTCTCAGTTTCTATTACATCACCTGACACATAGCAGGTGCTCAATAAATGTTTTCTGAATGTCAGAAAAGAAATTTTTGAAAACTACTCAGCAACAACAAAATCCTTAAGATATTTGACTCTGAGATGTCACCAAAAAAACCCTTCAGATCCTCAAAGGAAAAAAAATTCAGTGTTAAAGCAGAGGGTCTCTACTGATCTTTCAACACTCTGGAGATTGTCTCTCGAAATAAACTTTAGTTTTTAGGACTTTCCAGCAAACAAACTAACAGCTCCCTATTTAATCTTAATAAAAACTCTTCAAAATATATTTTATTATCCCCACTTTCCATAAAAGAAAACTAAGTTGCAGAGAAGTTAAGTCATTTGTCCGTGGACACACGAAGTCAGGAACTGAGACTAGCAGGGTAGGCACGTTTAATTAATTCACTAAACCAAACGACTGAGCAGAATGTGCAAGGCAGACGGCTAGGTTCATTAGGGCATAAAAGATGATTTAGACGCATCTCAAGGACTGTCTTGCGAGTCTAAACCATGGCTATACATGATTAGCAAGAAAGAGATCGAGTTTGACCAGAGTTCTGAGGAGAGGGCATTCAAAGAGAACCTGTGAGATGGTGATGTTTGGTCTGGGGATGGACAAGGGTGAGACTGGAGAAGGACAGTAAGGCAAAGGGAATAACATGAGCAAAATAGAGAGGCTAGTGGTCACGTTAACAGGAAGAGAAGCATGAGTGAGAAAGAGGGAAAAGGAGAGAACGAGAATGAGATAGAAGTGAGATAAAAACCTTAATGTTAAGGTTCTGGTGAACATCTCAGTGGAGGTTTCCATCCAGCAGTTGGAAATGCTGGGCTGGAATTGGTGAGAGAAACAGGAAATAGAAATACGCAGTTGCAAGTCATCTGTATAGACAGTAAGGAGGCCAAAGGAACATGGAGAAGACAACACCTAATATGTAGAGGAGGGAGAAGAATCAGGGGTAGAAACAGAACAATAGCATATCAGTAGATCAGCAGCCCCTTCCTGGGTATCAGCTCACAGAAGATGGAAGTTCAGCGAAGAAGGTTTAGATGGACTTAGGAAGTTAAGGACGATGAAGACGAAGAAAAAGGCCATGAAATGTGGGAAGTAAGAACTCACTCATGACATCTGAGGGAGCAATTTTGGTCAAATTGGGGAGGGTATGAGAGGATAATAGGCAGATTGATGGAATGGTCAGGAAGTGAAGGTAAATTTAAGAATTTTGATAGAGGTGATGAGAAAATAAAAAATACATTCTCAGAGCTCTTGACTCCTTCGTCCTTGTAATCAAGGACAAATGGCTGCTCAAAGTGAGAGCTTCAGTCCTTTCTTTGGAATTGAACTGGGCTAATTAATTACCTCACTCACTGATGTCCTTGCCCCATCAGCGACATGCACCAGACAAATAAGATCATATAGAAGATCTGATTTTTAAAACCTGGAGAATTATTTGGAGGTTTGTAGCAAGATGGAGACATCAAAGCAAACAGAGTCATACTTAATTACCCCCTTGAGAGGTTCTGCACTATTCTAAAAATGCCATCACAATACAAAACTTGTTCTGAACCCTTCTTCAGTAATGTTCCCTTGGCACCGAGGCAGCTTATGAAGCCCACAATAAGCTCTCAAATATTTGCTAATATTACCGTCATCACTATTGTTATTCCTCAGCTTCGCTCCCTACCTTATTCACTAAACTTGCCTCTAAATGGCTTTGGACTCTTTTCAATTCAAAGCTGCCTCAAAAAAATGAAGATTTGCCACCACAGGGTGTATTCTGGAGGAAGTTCTCTCAAAGGTTTCAGAAGCTATTCTGAGTGATGGCAGCACCTTTGGAAAGAGAGTTAGACCTGCAGTGATTCCTGTGGAAAGGACACATGTTTGTGTATCTAAGCTCACATTTTTACCCCTGCTATCATGTGTGTCTCCTACACAATCCATCAGCAGCTGGCCTCCCTGCTTTATACTGCAAGTTCCCAAATGCTAAGGCTCTTGCTTCAAGAACCAATACCCTCAAACTATAAATAAATAAATAAATAAATAAATAAATACAAGGGAAACAGATTCGGCCAGATTTGGTAACAAGAATGCTAAACTTAGAAGAGGTACATTCAGACTCATGTGTGGCCTTAGACAAGTCATTCACCCTTTCCGGGGGTCAGTTTCGTCATATGTAAAGTGAGGGCATTGATCTAAAGGGCCTCTAAGATGCCTTTCTTCTGGAATGAAGATCTGGGAGAAGTTACATCAATCTGGGAAGCAGCCCTAGCCCCACCAAGAAAAGGGGCACCCCCTGCTCCTGGAGGGCAAGGCAGGGTTTCTCAGTCTAAGTGAAAGCAGCCTTCTCCCCTGTGTGGGATGTTGATTTGTTTTGTTCTTTGCTGCCCACCAAGTGAGCTGTTGAAAGGACAGCTCTGGCCCCCTTGGTACCCCATCAGCCCTGGGACCGCAGGAGGGGGAAGGGGTCCTTACCCATCGTGTTGTTGGCTCGAGAACAGACTGTGCGCTTCAGGATTTCGTGCACCTAAAACAGAGACAGCAGGGCTGTGAGGGCCTTGACCATGTGCGTCACCACATGTGGGGGGCGGGCAGGAAGCAGGCGGCTAGACCCATTTCCAGGGAGGGGGAAGCCAAGCATGTGCCAAGCTCATGGACTGCATGTCAAACCCACTCAAACTTGAGTGCCTTGAGGAAACAAAGAATCAACTCCTCACACACACTCCCTCCTCCACCCTACCCTGAAAAAATTAAGAAAGGAAAGGCTATAAATTGACTGCAGTAACAGGAGGTAAGAAAAACAAATCAGGGAGCCCAGACCCACAGCGCCCCCTGGAGGGCTAGGGAGGCGGCACCTGGGTTGGGCAGGGGACAGGGTGTCGGCTACCTGGGGGGAACCTCCAGGAAAGCCTGGAGGAGGGTGTGTCTCATCTGTCAGCCCTGATTACTGCCGCGCTGGGGAAAGCCCAGGATGGGGAGGTAAACAGATCCCTGAATGTCAGTTGCCTCCTCTGTAACGGAATTATATTACAAGCTGCTTTGAGGAACCACGAAAGTGCTTTGTATACTGGAAAAGAGCCATCTACATGTTGGCCATTGGTACTATTTTTTCTTTTTTTCTCCTGAGTCTTCATCTTGCCTCCCCAATCAGAGTGTGTCAGGCACTTCCCCAAGACTCCACGTCTCAAAGCACAGGCTGTGCACACAGCGGGCTGCTCAATGACTACAGAGAGGCTAAACGCACCAGCCACCTCCGGACTGCGGGGCTTACAGGGGACCCTGTCTGTCACATCGGAAGAAGGGGTGCCAAGAGTACTCCCTGAAGAAAAAAGGTGAGTGGATGTAAACCTGTTTGCCAACCGGTGCCCTCCAGTGGGTCCCAGGCCTGTGCCAGGCTTTAAAGGAAGTCTGCTCTGGGACAAACAGCTGGGTTGCTCAGATGCCCACTAAGACAGGGGCACAGGGAAGACATTTACAGATGTGGGTGAGGTCTCTAGGACAGAGTAGACCCGAAACAAAACTCAAGGTTCTTTATCTCTGGGGTGGACTGGCAAAAAAGCAAGAGTCAAAGGAAGAAGCTTCTGGAGATGAATGGGAGATGTGTTTCTCCATCATCATTCACACTTTCATATTCCAGTAAGAGACCTAATAACTTCCAGCAGAATGGGGCCCAAAAATGTTTAATTCACTTAAAATACAGTACAGTAATTCAACAGCAATAATAATTAAGAACAGCATTTACATGGCGTTGTATTACGTTACAAGCACTTAGCAATTATCGGGTAATCTCCACGACACCCTATAATTCCCCCAGACATAAGACCCAAGGCACAGGGAGATTTAAATGGCTTATAATAGCATCGACTCAGAAAAAAAAAAAAAAGTGAAAGAAATCATATGCCCATTTTAATCCACCCTAAAACACTAAAACCTGAGGTGTTTTCTTGCCCATCCTGCAAGCAGAGTCAAGGCCATATTTCCAGTGTGCCTTGGAAATCATCTGTCGCTTCCTTTATTCATCTGTCCATTCTTATCCTTTTTATCATCTTTCTGACTTGGAAGTCCTGCTGGGTAGCTAACCCTTATTCCTTCTCCTGTTAAAACTTAAGTTCTTTCCTAGAGATCCATGGAAACACACTGCCATGTTTCCACGGTAGTATGAGTAAGTGTCCAGCATTCCTTGGGCCCCTCTTTCTCTCCTTTGTCCATAAGCTGTATGCTCTCTCTGTGGGTAGAGAATAAACTACCCAGTGAATGGAGACACCCTAAACTTAGACTGGGGCCACCTTGTCACAGGCCATCTATAAATTTTGATGGGAATCAATCATCCCGCAAAATTCAAAATCTTGACTTCAAAAGACAAGACAACTGTGGAAGAACAGCTATGATCATGAAATCTGGCTTTCTATTGAATGGTCTAGTCATTTCATTTTTGGACAAACTGGCTAGCTGTAAAATTCCCTGCCACAGAAATGCACAAGGCTCCTCTGGGGGTAAAGAAAGCAAGCACAGTGACCCAACAATGAGTCCTCATTTGGACACTAACAATCTGTAGGAACTTTTTTTCAATCTATTACTTCTCAGAGCCTCAGTTTCCTCAACTGTAAAGCAAAGGGGTCACCTGACTAGCAGAAAGTTCCCACCAGCTCTGCGAGTCCCTGGTTTTGTGATTGCAAGAAGGGTCTAAGTGGAGAACTGGAAAGAGAAGTCTCTCCTGGCAGTTGTTTGCAATTTCTTTTGTTATTAAGATTGGAAAGCTCCTGGGCACTCCTCTCAGTTGCTAGGTAACTCCAAGCAAATGAGGGTGGGAGGTAGCAGGGAAGGCAAGAGTATGCCCTGCCAAACGGGGACTCAGTCTTTACTCACCCCTTCCTCAGCCCACTCCAGGTTAAGCACCTGATTAAGCTGTTTACTTACAATGCGGCTACGGGTGGCATTATCAAAGAAAGTGTCCTTATCCTGGATGTTGTACCTAGAGACACCAAGAAAGCAGAAGGTCAACTCATTTCATTCCTGAGACCACTGTCACCCGGGCCCAGAGCAAACTTCTAAGCAATGAAGCAAGATGTGTAAGACACACACACTCACACATGCTCACAATGTTTATACTATTTGTGACCCAGTAATTCTGAAAACTTATCATAGAAATGTATCACAGGGAAAATAAATTCAACAGAAGAAACAAATTCCGTAAGTAAAAATGTTCATCACAAGGTTACTTATAATAAAGTTATGGAGATAAAATACAATTCCAAAATCTATATGATAGATTATCAAACAGCCATTGAAATTACAATTATGAAAACTTTATAAATAGAAAAGTTTTAGACAATGATAGAAAAATATTATACTATGATAAGTTTTAAAAATGAAAGTAGGTTAAAAAAAAAAATTCCTGTGCATGGACAAAGACAATAAAAATAAAAACACAACAATAAAAAAAGTATAGTTTCAGGGTGTTGGGATTATAGCTCTTTGTGTTTCAAAATTTAATTTGATGTTGTTATCATGTCACATCAATTAGATACCAAACTCCTAATTATGTAAGGCCTGTGTTTGTTCTAAACTTTAAATATTGATCGTTCACTAAAAAAAATACAAAACAAAACTCCTGTGTAGAGTTAACTGTGCTTAGGACATGCAGATGCTCCCAGACCCCATAGAGCCCAGTCACTGTGTGTTTCTAAATAACTAATGCAGAGTAGAACATGAAAATATTTAGATCATTGCTCTAAAACCTGAGAGGATGGAGAGAACATTTTGGTTGGAAAGAACAGAGGATTCTTCGAGAAGGTGGTTAGGAACTAGACTTGAAGGATTACAGAAGCTGAAGGCATGGCGATGTGCAGGAGTGGCATTTCAGACGCCAGCACTGGCATGAAAGCAGGCCCAGGGAAGGATGAGTGGGAGAAACAGAGTGTGAAAAGAACAGCAGGCCAGGTCAACAGGCCAGTCCCAGTTCAGCCACTTCGGTCTCTGTGACCTTGGACAGACCCTGGGCCTTGGTTTCCTGTCTATCATAAAGGGATAGCTACATCTGGATGGCCATCTCACAAGGTGGGTGTGATACTGTGATTTATAATAAATAGATACTATTGTCTTTGTCTACTGTTCCTGGCTCACAAATCTCAAAACCTTTGGAATTTCCTGAGCGATAAGAGCAATGGGAGTATCTTTCGTTATAGTGCTTGGTCTCCTGTTCTCAGTTCCTGAAATCGCTTCTGAGCCATAAAGGTGAAATGGGTGTCATGTTATTCATAACAAGCACCCTTTCCACTACAACTGGGTTTATGTCCAGGTGACTTTTGGAAATCCTCTAAAGACTGGAGGGAGGAGACTGGTTGCCAAGGGAACCAACCAGGAATAGAGGGCTGGAATTTTCTGTTCCACTCCCTGGTTTCTGGGGAAGGGACAGGGACTGGAGGTTGAATTAAACATTGATGGCCAATGATTTAGTCAACCATGCCTACATAATGAACTCCATAAAAACCCAAAAGGAGCAGTTTCATAGAGCTTCCAGGTTGGGAACCAGAACTCTTCCACGTGCCACCTGTCTGGCCCCAACTCCACTAGGACAGAAATTCATTGTTTGAGACCCCACCCGCTGTATCTCTACATCTGACTGTTCATTTGTATCCTTTAATATCCTTTGTAATAAACCAGTAATCTAGTGAGTAAATTGGTTTCCCGAGTTCTGTGAGCCACTCTAGCAAATTAATTGAACCCAAGAGGGGGGTCATGGGAACCCTCTGATTTATAGCTAGTCAGTCAGACGCACAGGTAATAACCTGGACACGTGATTGGCATCTGAAGTGTGACACTGAGCCCCCAATCTGGGAAATTTGATGCAATCTCCAGGTAGATAGTGTCAAATTTTAGTTGAATGGTCGGTCACCTAGCTGGGGCGGGAGAATTTCTTGGTGGTGTGTGGGAACACACACACACACACACACACACACACACACACACACACACACACACATACACAACTGGAATTGGTGACCAAAATTGGTACCACAATCGTTAGAGTAAGGATTCAGTGAGGGAATATGTAGAAAAGAAACAGCATATACATGTGTATACAATCATTATCTAACATGGCAAAGATGGGTAGGAGATATTATTCAAGGAACAGCAGAAACACAGTTCCACGAATGCCATCTCCTCAAAAGAGACAGATTTTTGTATCTTCTTTGCCTTTCCATGCTCCTTCCTTTCTCTCTCTTGCTTGATTCTCTTATCACTCTTGATAATCTTTTATTTTCTTATTAGCTCCTAAAACAGAATAAATGCTTGGCTGCTGCATCTCCCGCTTCCCAACCATGACTCCCCCATCCAAAGGTTTCTTTCCCAAATATCCACCCTGTTGTAAACTCTTATTCCCTCTTTCGAAGTGGGGCATGGGAAGGGGTCTCTCCTCAGAGTCAACAAGTGCATGAGTAGGCAGCTGAGAATACAGAAATCTGGAAGCTTTATCCACCTTCTCTCTGGTTTATCACAGTATGTTGAAACCCTAGTAGACTGGGAACTAGGCAGAATGGTTCCCCCACAGGAGGTAAACAGGTATTTGAGAGTCCCAATGTTTATGGTTGTCTCCTCCGTGATTCTCCACCCTTCATGCAAAGTTACTGAAATGATAGCTTTCCCCATAAGCCACTGGATAAATATTCGGGAGCTATTTGTGATCATCTCACTTAGGGAAAACAGGATATAGTTCACCATGAGAGCACAGTTCCTCCCCTCTCTCCCAGGCATGGGGCACTCACTTTGTGAGCTGAGTGATGTGTGACTTTCCTTCCCATCCTCCCTCATGTCCATAACCCTGCAGCTCCAGTACTCACAGGTACATTTTCTCCCTGGAGAATGGATAGGACAGGTTTTTCATCTTGTTGTTACCGTGCTCTGGAACTCTGGGCTTCAGGGGTGAGCTCAACTTCTGCAGAATCTCGTTGAATTTCTTTGCAATGCAGCCTTCTGATTTGATCTCGTACATCTATGAGAGGCAAAGCCACAGGTCTGAAAGGAAGCTACATCCACATTCACAACCAAAGCTGCACTGGGTCCAGATCCCTGTGAGGGGACCACTCCAGAGAGAAACAGGAGACCGGAAGAAACAAGAAGTAGGGCCCTTCCCTTGCCCCACTGCTTTCACAAGGACTTGGGCTCTGAGACACACACACACCCATGCGTGCACACATACACACACACACACGCCCAACTATCTGTACCAATGGAGGTGACCAGTGTAAAGAAATGAGTGAGGAATCCAAACTTTCTATATGATTTTGTTATCACCTTAAGAGAAATGGAAGACCTACTATGTGACAGTCACCATATTAAGTGCTTTATACAAATTAGCTCCAGTGTTCACAGCTAGACAATATTATTATCGTATTACAATAAGAAAATTAAGGGTTAGAAAGATGAGATGAGTCCGCAAAGGTCACACAGAAAGTTACTGGGTGGTAGCCTGAATTTAATCTATGTCGACCTAATCCAAAGTATGCACTCTACAACTACGCCATGCTCCTATGTGCTCATGTAGCATCACTTTCTTTGTGTATTCCTCTTAGGAACTAGCTGATAAATGAGCCTGCTTTCAAAGTATTACACATCTAATGAGTATCTGCCTTGAGTAAGGCATAGAGTCAGTACCAAGATAAACACTGAGATTTATAGTACATACAGATTTTTTTTTATGATACACAGAGTGCTTTCACATACATTATAGCTTTTGGTCTTTCGAATTTACAGATGTAGTCATTGAGACACAGAAGCTGTGCTTCTCATAGTAAAGCTGTGATGGATGGATTAACAACGGACACAACTTTTTTTTTATACAAATTCTCCCCTCAAAAAGTAGCATCTCTGTTCTCACACTCTTAAGTCTGGTTGAGCTCTGTGGCAGCTTGACACTATGCAAGCTCCATTCCTTAAGAAAATGGGCAGCTTCTGCCTTGGTATCTTGAAGCCCTGAGCCACTTGTAGGAAGTCTGTGGAGAGGTGCTCAGGAGAAGGACTAGGCTGAGACCAGGCTTCCAGCTGCCCTGCTGAAGATCAGGCACGTGAGGGAAGTCTCCTTAGACCTCCTGTCCAGCTCCACCCCAAGCTAGATACCACCAAGTGACCTCAGTCAATACCACATGGAGCAGAAGAATCACTCGACCCAGCTCTGCTCAAGTTCTTAACTAAAAACTCTTAACACAGAATAAATTACTGTGTTTTAAATTACTAAGTGTGGGCTAATTTGTCATGCTGCAATAGATAATCAGAATAGGAGCCAACATCCAGATCTTCTGACATGAAAGCTGGTTTTCTTCTCTATCATGATATCCTCAAGTTGCTTAAATCTAGACAGGCAGTAAAACATGTATGAAATACTTATAAGATAGACAGATAAAAGCCACAGAAGACAGAAAATGCTTTGAGGGTTCAAAGGAAGGAGACAGAACATCCAGTTGAGGAATCAGAAAAATGTTTCATAGAAAGAGTAGTATTTCTGTTGGACTTTAACAGAAAGGTAACCTTTTGTTATCATTTTGTTCTTTAATAAAATAACGATAAGTTGGGGGCAGAGAAAGCACTTCCCCGATCTAACTGAAACGTAACCACAGTTTATTTCTTCTAATAAAGTTTTCTATGCATTTTTATTTAATTTCAGTTATAAAATTAACACAGTTCTAATAAACAAACCAAAACCATAAAAGTATATTAACTAAATGTTAAGAGTTTCCTTTCACTTCCAACCCAATCCAACCGTCTTCTCCGGAGGAAATTTCTATTAACAACTTGAGTATGTTTTATCCCAACTCTTTCTGAAATACACATATAACTGAATTCTAAACTGTAATTATATTTCACATATTGCTCTAAAATTTGCTTTTTCACTTAGCAATATATCACAGATATGTATCTTTCCAGGTCAGTTTGTGTAGAGCTACCTTAATGAATGCATAATATTACACAGACATGAATCCTAATTTGCTTAATCACTTCTCCGGTGATAGGCATTTATTTGACTTTCTACACATGCTTTATCTTATTTGATTATACTTTTATTAACATTACCTTATAAATACTTTTAATGAATAAGATTTGAACAGAAAGATATAGGCAAAGACATTCCAGGCAAAAAAAAAAAAAAAAAAATTTAAGCTGGGTCTAAGAAGGATTAAATGGCCTGGTTTCTTCGGTGCACGGGGTCCTGATAGGGACAGGCGACAGTCATGACAGAAAGGCAAATTGGAGGTCCTGCTGCACAAGGCAATGGGATATCAGTGAAGGGTTTGAACAATGACAAAACTAGAGCTGTGAATCAAGAAGATAATCAAACGAGGTTGTGTAAGAAGAATGAGCCAGCTTTTCTGAAACAAGAGGGCTGTTTGTTTCTAAAAGCACGCACCATTTAGTAAGCATCTTCTATGTGCCTGACTCTCGATGTTCATTAGCACCAATCTGAAAGATACGCTACAAAGCCAAGAAGAGTTAAGTATCTCAGTCAAGTTCACAAAGATAGTGTAAACCTGATAATAAATGCAAAGTCTACATTCTTGACTATTCTCCTGCTTCATTTGCTAAAACGTGAGTGATCAGGGGTAAAAAACTATGCAATTGACAATATTGCCTCTGCCAAATCTCTCCTTCACACACACTGGTCACTGCAATGCAAAGAGCTCACCCCTCAGGCATCTTTGAGCCTGCAGGGATGGAGTCAGAAAGATGACATTGTCCGAGCGGACGTCTCACAGGTCATTAAGGGCAAGTTCTGACCGGACACAGACCCTGCATTGAGACTGTAGTGTGTTAATCACCCATAACCATGTGCTTTAAATGGCACGTGCATGGAAATTAAAGTTTCAGAGCAGGAGGAAAGCTGATGGACTGTCTTCCAGATGCCTTGGAATGATAGACTTGGACCAGCCAAGAGTATTTCTCCTTTGTCCGCTTCTCTCCATTTCCACCTTTGGTTTCCCAGTCTAAGGTGCCTTTAACTACAGCAACAACTGGTCTCCCCATATCTTCCCTTGCTTAGGGTTGCCAGATCTAACAAATAAAAATACAAGACATCCAGTTAAATTTGAATTTCAGATAAACAATAAATAATTTTTTTAGTATAAGTATATTTCATGCAATATTTGGACATACTTATAACTTAAGAATTATACTTATATAAGAACAACAATAATTTTTACTATTAGTATGTCCTATGCAGTATTGGGGACATATTTATACTAAAAAAGTATTCGTTGTTTATCCAAAATTTGAATGCAACTAGGCATCCTGTATTTCATCTAGTAGAGCTCACTTAGAGAAACAAGCTAATAATATAGGATGGAGCCAGACACATACTCACAATAAAATACAGGTGGGTGACCCCGTGGCACAATACCATGGACGCTAGGCTTGGAAGACAAAGGACCTGCTTCCTCCCTGCATGCCTTTGCATGTGTTGCATCCACTCCTAGAACTCCTCCCCTCCTTTTTCACCTGGATTACTTCCTTCCCCTTCACCTTCAGGCTCAAGTATTGGCTTTTCCAGGAAACTTCCCTTGACCACTCACTTCCTGTCATGCTTCCCTTAGTATCCTGTGAAAAACACTGGTGTCATGAAATTTGTCATGTTCTTCTCTTATTCTTGGTTCACTAATCTGTCACCCCAACAGACTGTGGACTTCTAGAGGGCAAGGACCACACCTTATGCCCTGGCACACAGCTGAAACACAATAATGTCTATTGTGTTTGACCTAGAGTGAATGTCCTGGGTCCTGGTCCTTGCTGACACAAACTAGCTGTGTGACTTTGGGCAAGTCACTCTCCCTCTCAGGTTCTTCATCTCTAAAGAAAGAACTGGAGAATTTCCATGCCACATACTTCCCACTGTGATAAAGTAACAGGGACCAGATTCACTCTACCTGAAATGACCAAAACATTCAGACAAAAAACATGAAATAATGGTTGTTGTTGTCTGAATGTCTGTGTTCCCCCAAAACTTATATCTTGAAATTCTAATCCCCAATGTGATGGTACTGGAAGGTGGGCTCTTGAGAGGTGATTAGGTCATGAGGGTAGAGCCCTCACAAATGAGATTAGCACTCTAATGATAGAGATCCCACAGAGCTCCCTAGCCCCTTCCACTAAGTGAGGACACAGAGAGAAGGCATCAGCTATGAACCAGAAAGAGGCTCCTCACCGGACCGTACTGGTATCCTGGTCTCAGACTTCCAGAACTGTGAGGAAAAAAAAAAATTCTATTGTCTGTAAGCCACCAGGTCTGTGGTATTTAGTTATAGCAGCCCGGGTGAAATGGAACAACATTTTTCAAGCTATTGGACATGAGGTAACAAGGAGTTCCTAAGAGACAGGAGGCAAACAAGGTAAGTCTATGATTTCTCCAGCTCACTGCCTTGAGAGAGGTTCTGGGCCATGATGCAGGAAAGAGAAAAAGGGACAGGTCAGCAAACTCCCTGAGCTGTGGAGACAGAACTATAATTCTGGGGAGACCAGGGCAACTAGAGTTCACAGGACAGAGTAACTAAGAGGGAAAACTTCACTAAGAACCCCAGAGATCTGCAGAAGGCCCCCCTTTGAGTATTTGGCAGCATGGGCATGAGGAAACTACTCAAGACTGAAAGGATTAAAATAGCACCTATTCCCACCAGCCAGAATGGGAAATCTCATCATTGCCAGGGCATTCATTGGGAAAGGTACTCAGGTCAACTCAGTAGTGGGGGTAATTACCCCAAGACTGAGCACTGCTCCATGCCAACCTAACAAACCGTAACAGAGAGAAATGCATTCAGTGCTTTTAAAGTATTGCCCAAGCCTAATATTCTTTGGCTTTAAACATTTAATGGAAAAGACACGGTCATTCACAGCACAGACATTTCTAGGCACTTCCTAGATGCCAGGTGCTGAGCTTGGTGGTTGATTGTGCCAACTGCTGGAGAAGTACAAAGATGATGATAACACTTTCCATACACGAAATGCTTTGCA